AGAAACTGCTGAGCTACCAGGTAAGGAATTGGAAGGTTCCTGGAGTCTGCTCCTGGGAGCAGTGAAACCCTCTGTCTCCATCTCCCTCCCCCTCCAATCTACTGGCTTACTTCTCACTGTTTCCAGGAAAGCAAGTGAGGTCTGGCTGTATACAGTGTCTGTGTTTCCAGAGAGTCTCAGGAGGGTGACCCCAGGAAGAAGCAAAGCCAGAGGGGTTATGTAGACTGGCTTCAAGCAAATTCTGATATATTCTGCTATGTGCAGTCCTGGCTGAGAGTGACCCTGGCTGTCTGTGCCTTCCTTCCCATGGAGGCCCCTTCTCCCTGTGGTGCTCTTACAGACCATGGCCCCTTTAGGTCCATGATCCCACACTGAAGATGGGGAGCCACCACAGTGGTCCCCACTCCCCTCCCACTACCACCATGTCCTTGTAGCCAATTGTCCCAGCCCTTGACAAGCCTCAGGTTTGACAGTGGAGGGAAATTAAGTGTTTAACAGACCTCCCACAGGAATGAAGGACAAGGGGGCGGCAATGAACACATGAGGGTTGCAGTGGAGGGAAGAGGACCAGTGGGAGGGACAGCTGAGGTGGCTTGAGCTTGGACAGTGAGGAGGGAGTGGTGGAAGTTAAAGTCAAGGGTACACGGAGTTAAAGATTTTGGTCTTTATCATGATAGCAATGGAGAACCCTTCAAGGGATTGAAACAGATTAGTGATATAATCTGATTTGTGTTTCAAGAGATACTGGTCTGTAAAATGATTTGGAGCAGGACAAGCATGTTTGGAAGATATAGCTAAGGCCCATATAGAGGTGAGGGTGGTGGCAGTAGAGATGGAGAGAAGACAATCTAAAATCTGGGGATGAGGCATGAAAGATGGGCTCATAATACCAGGAGGAGTTGCTTTTCCTGTGCCATGCTCGCCTTCCATTTGTGCTGACCTGCAAGTGCACTTCACTCACGTCCTTGCGCAGATGCATGGATACCAGGCACACCCACACCCCCTTGTTCTTTCTCTGCCAATACTCAGAGGAAACATTTTCTCTGCCAGTCATCTCAGAGCTCAGGCACAGAGTGGGAAAGGAGATAAACATGATGGTCATGAAGAGTGAGAGCCCAAGATGTGGGCAATAATGGAGATTTCATTGAGCCAGGCCTCCCTGAGAGCCCTGGAGGAAAGCTAGCCAGCTGCTCCCCTATAGATCTGGCTCCCTGGGTCTCCATCCCAGGAGAAGCTGTGCCAGAGTGCCATGGTGATGGCAGTCATGTGACAGAAGTAGGCCCCCACCTCCAGTCCTGGAGGGCCCAGTGTACCTCAGGTGGAGGGAGGTTTGGGAGCAGGACCCCTGGGCTTTCCTGCCCAGCCTCTTGGTTGTCTTGGTGATGGTACAGCCAAGGTGTGGTGTCTTCTATCTTCAGCCTTCCACTAAGGGCCTGTCTGGCCCAGCCCCAGGGAAGAGATGGGGAGGCTACAAGTCAAAGGGAAGGAAATGCCAGAGGCCACGGAAGAAGGAGCCAGGTGCAGAGAAAGGGAGGTGGCCTCTGGCTTCCCAGCAACAGAATCAATAGTAAGGAAGTGCCTAAAAAATGACAGGATGGGAGCATATGGAAAGGATACAGGAACCACCTGAAGGACCTCCCAATGGTCAAAGCCAGAACAGTTTGAACAATAAAATAAATAGCATAATATCACATTATGACCCAAAATAAAAAAATAAATATACATGTATGCATACTGATAAAAATGTTAGAATAAATAAATAAATGGAGGGAGAGTCTTCCTTTCTCAAGAATTTTATTAAATATATGTTGATATTCCCTGATCTAGGAGGTAGAGTTTACTTCCTCTTTCAAATGTGAGGGTGGCCTTGACTTGGTGACTTAATTCTAAAGAATAGAGTTAGGAAGAGGGAAAAACTATAATATTACTGTGGAGAAACCTGGCAAAGACTGCCTTAACCATGCTGCCAAGGCCAGTGTTATCAGTGGTGATGTGTGGATTTATATGTGCCCTGCTATGATGCAGTGAGAAGCCACACCACCTTTGTGGTATTCTTTCTAGAAACTTATAACCTTGGTCTTGTCAGGAGAAAAAACATCAAATTGTCAGGTGAACCCAAACTTAGTGATGTCCTATGAAATAGCTGACCAGTATTACTAAAACCCATTAAGGTCATGAAAAACAAGGGAAGTCTGAAGAACTGTCACTAATGGGAGAAGACTATGAGACATGATGATTAAATACAGTGTGATGTCCTGGATTGGATCCTGGAACAGAAAGAGAACATTAGTGGAAAAACCCAGCGAAATCTGGAGTTAACAGAAATGTCCCAATATTGGTTTATTAGTTTTTAAAATGTATCATTTAAGATGACAACCTTATTTGAAATTAAAACTGGGACTCTCTGTTTTATTTTTACAATTTTTTTCTAAATCTTTTCCAAAATTAAAGGTTTATTAAAAGTATGTGTATAGGAGACTATTGATTCAGTATACATGTAGCAGAGACATACCCATAAAAAGGAGAGTTATCATGTTCCCTGCCCCTCCTAGTGAAGCTATAGGACACAGAAGGCAAGTGGGCTCAAGAGAGACATGGGGAGACACAGGAGAAGAAGGGCATGCCTGCTTCTCAGGTTTAGACTTGCACCAGGGACTTAGGGGATCTGGAAAGACACGTGGGTGAGAGACAAGGGGGGAGGCTGACAATGGCAGCTGTTGCCTTCATTTGTACCTAGATTTTACTCTTTTCATCTCAGACTTGCCTGGTCCCTTTAACCCTTTTCGTGTGGTTCCCCACCCAAAGGTGGCTTAGACTTTGACTAGCTTTCAGGCCTCAGTGGCCCTGCTTTGCAGCAGCCCTGTCTGGCTGGACATTCACCTTCAAGGGGATGGGTAACTTTGGATGTTTTATTGGGACACTATTATTCTTTCTTTTCTCTCTCTCTCTTTCTCTCCACCCCCCCCCCACCAACCCTATTAAAATTCTTTCACACTGTGTATGCTTTGTCTTTGTGCACACAGATGTGCACACAGATGGCCCCTTTATAGCGTGCAAGTTTGGGAGTCCTGGGGTACTCCTTGTTCAAGTGCTGACATACAGAGAGCTTCTTCATTTGTCCTTACTGCTGCACGCCACTCCGTTGTAAGGATTGATTGCAATTTATTTAACCATTTATCTGCTAGTGGGCAAATGTGTTGTTCCTATTTCTTTGCTATTGCAAAAAATACATGAATACTATGCCATCTACACCCATACCATCCGTGCGAGGATATCTGGAGAGTAAATCCCTAGAACAGAAATTGTCAGATGAGGAAACATCAGCGCTTGTCATTTAGATCAACGCTGCCAAATTGCCTTCCCCAGAGGTCTAACCAATTTATATTTCCACCATCAATGTGAGAAATGCATCTTTCCCCACACCCTTCCAACATTGGTTATAATCAAGATTGTAAAAAATGTTACTGTTGCTAAATTCTAAGTGAAAAATTGTTTTTTGTTTGAATTTTACTTTTCTTATTATGGATAGGGCTGAGTATCTTTTTATTTGTTTCAGAAATTCTTTTCCTTTCTGTGAATTCTCTTGAGGATATTTTTGTAAAAAAAAATTAAATCCCTCCAAAAACATCTAGATATTAAAAGTTCCCATTTCCACAAATTAGAAAGTAGAGAATGGTAATAACTTGCTGGGTTCCAGGTTCTAGGCAGTGATTCTCAGTAGTTGAGGCAGGGAAGACAACCTTCTGGGTCTCCTAGCCTCCTTGGGAGGACTTGCCTTCCATGTGGTAGTTTGCACAGGAATGCCTCAATCTTAAAATTGGAACAGGAAGCTTAGCGGGGGCTTTTTCTATTGTCTGGAAATAGTAGCTAAGGCCAAAGTCGAGGACAACCACCCCCTCCCTTCAAACAAACATACAAAAATTGCTAAGTGCCCCAGACGTCTAAAGAAAGTTGCCAAGAATTTTAACCGGACTTTTTTTTTTTTTTTTAAAGATTTATTTATTTATTTATACAAGCACTGGGTACAGTCAGAAGCGTGGGAGGGTGAGAGAATTCACCAGAGCCAGAGCGGAGAGCAGAGCAGGCAGAAGGACCGAAGTACACTGCTGAGGGGAGCAGCGGGCGGCAGGAGAGGTCTGCGCGCCATGTGGGACCCTCCTCCAGTGGCCGGGGAGCAGCCGGGGATCGAACCGGCGCCGCAGAGGCTCCGGGCAGCTTCGCAACCCAGCGCTCAACCGCTGCGCCACCAGGGAGGCCCTTTAACCGGACTTTTAACTTTTAAATTTAACCAGATTTTATCCAGGGATTACATTGAGGGGGTGAAACTGGCCCCACCCTTCAACATCTAACACCCCACATGAAAGGTGGGTTGGGAGGAGTGGTCCATTGGGGGAGAGCACATTTACACTGAGTGCAATTCTCCTTGTCCTTTTCCCTCAAGTCAAAAGGAAAGACTCCAAGAAGAAAATTCAGAGAATGGCCTTGCACTTCTTGAGGGTGTTTACCTCAGCAATGGAATTCCTGACCTTGCCCTGCCTTATCTAAGCAGAGAATGAGAGATGTGGTAGAAGTGGGGCCTGGGGGTGACAAATAGTGGTGATGCCTGAGTTTACTGGAGGTTAAGTAAGCACTATGGAAGTAAGCTGGGCTCAGCTACCTGAGCAAAAGGGCCCTTGATGTGGGCTCCGTGTGTTAGAGGACTAGGTTCTGACCCTGCTCCAGCTACTTTCCTCAAGCCTGAGACATCTACTGGGCCAGTTGCACAGAAACTCCATTCCCCTGTTGCACAGGCCAATCATCTTGCCTCCTGTTTTTCACTTCATGTATCCAATCCATCAGCATAATTACCAGCTCTGCCTTCAAACTGCATGTCAAATCTAGCACTTCTCACACCTCTATGGTGAGATGGCCACTGAGGCCAAGCCATCACCATTTCTTACCTGGATGTCACAATAGCCTAACAAGTCTCTTTTTCCTTCTGTTGGTCCTAAAGCCTGATCTCCACAGAGTCAGAGTAACTTTGAACATGTAAGTGAGATCCTGATCCCTCTGCTCAAAAGCCTCCAACTCACCCATCATGGTCAGAGTTAAAACCCAAATTCTTATCATGACTCCTAAGACCCTGCGGAATCTGTGCGAGGCCCTTTCTCCTCTCCTCCTCACTCGCTTCTGGCAAGACATTCCTCGACCAACTGGTAGGGTCAGACACTTTTCCATTCTCCTCCTCTCCTATATTTTCTCTCCGCTTTCATAATAGTCTCCCCAGGACGCCTACATAAGCTAGTGTCACCCTTCCAGTGCAGGGCACACTCACACCCACCCACGCTCATTCACAGTGGGACAATTTAGACACACCAGTGAACCTAACATGCTCGTCTTTGAGATGTGGGAGGAAACTGGAGCACCCAGAGAAAACCTACACAGATGTGGGGAGAACATTCCAACTCCACACAGATGGTGGCCTTAGCCAGGAATCTATTTTTTTTTCTCTCTCATTAATGTTCCAACAAAATGACACTGAATGAAATGATGTGATTGGAGGGCTTGCTGTTTTAGGCATCTCCTACAGGCTAGGCACTGATCTAGGTACTGGGAATACACTAAACAAACCTGCCCTTGCCCCCTAGGATGTGCAGCTAGAGAAGAGAAAGAAACAAACAAGTATATAAACATAAATTGGGAAGCGCGCCATGAAGGAGAGGAACAGGCTTTTCATTTTAGCTGTAGAATAACTCAGGAGCTGGCCCCGAAGCCAGTGCTGTCATAGTGAGAGCAACTCAGTACCAGGGCACCCGTGCCTCACTTCCTCTGCTCGACCACACCCGAGTCCTGGGCATGATGCTGCCTTCTGTAAAGGCCAGACCTGACAGCTCTTTTCAATTTGGACTTTTAATACTGCAAACACCATGCGCAAGTTGTCAGTCACACTGTGTTTGTTACTGTCTCTGAGGAGTAACTCACTGAGTCAGCCTAAGACTTACTAACTCTGACTCACCCCGTGGTTCTCCACATAAATATAAGTGACAAAAGCCTCAGGCAGTAGATGTGGCTGGTGGGGTGAACACAGGCAGAGAGGTGCAAGGTGAGGCTAAGGGTGGTTGGAGGAAGGTGTGTGGGGCTATTGTTTAAAGTTTGGATTTTGTTCCCAGGGCAGTGGTGGCCATGTGGGGGGTTTAAGCAGAGGTGGCCTATCTAATGTTTGTATTAAATATATCTCAGAGTGCCAGGTATTCAGGTACATAACTGGATTTTTGATGATTACTTGCTGAATTGAATTAAACTAGGAGTTGGTGAAGGAAGGGAGACAACTCTCTATGGAGATGGCTTCCTTGTAGCTAACAAACACTGGCAAGTTAAAAACCCAAAAGTTCGGGGTTGAGGCCCTTTCAAATTTCCAATCACTTTAAAGTGGAGCAGCCCTGTGACAGTCGGCTCTTGGAAAAGCTGACAAGTTGTCCTAATTTCCTCTGGCTCAGCTTCTCCTTTTTCCAGACTTACAGAATCATTGGGGAGCTTTTTTTTTTTTTTTTTTTTTTGTAATCCCCTGTGTTTCCTCATTTATATTGGTGTGTCAGAGATTCCAGGCAGTTTATGTACAGAGTAAAGTACTGAGTGAAGCTTATAATTTTAGGGGACAGGTAAGTTAGGGTGAGTGATAGGAAGGAAAGTTGCCCACTCAGGGAAGGAGATCTCTGGGCAAAGAAAAGGCCCCCAGAATGATGATTACAGAAACTGTCTCAAGAGGGGCATGTGGACAAGGTCTGAGTTTCTTACTAAGCCCCATGGAGACGAGGGTGATGTCAAAGTGATTGTGGTCTCAGCGGCCTGGCAGAGCAGAAGGCTGACATCACCACCCAGGGGACCCAGTGAGCTCAGACTCCAGGGAGACCTCTTCACAGCCCCCAAAGATGCTAGAGCAGCAAACATGGCCAAGAGGGCCCTGGGGGCTGAGCTGCTTTCATCTGCTGTTCAATTGTTGTTCTTTTCCTTTACCTTCCTGCCAACATAGAATCCTAAATCAGCCTTGTGGAGAGACAGAAAGAAGGTGCACAGACACACTGCCCAGGAAACTTTATATCTTATGGGGAGATGTATTTCTCCCTCTAAGAGCTCTGTGTCCTGGGAAAGGCCCCTGATCTCATGAAGCTCATGGTACAGGTGGACAGAACAGGCTTTCATACTAATGAAAAGCAACAAAAGAAGGTGTATGAGCTGGATTCTAACCTGTCTGTCACTCAATTATTAAATAACTTGCCCACCTGACTTTTATTTAAAGACTTTTATTTATTTAATCATAAAGCCTCAATTTTTTCCTCAATAAAATAATAACAGTTTCTGTCTCACAATAGGATGATTGTGAAGATTAAATAAAAGAAATGACATTATGTTTTCAGGACCCAGCAGGTTAATAAATGGTAGCTGGTATTATTGCTACTACTTAAGGTCACCCAGTGTGATAGGGACAGTGTAGAGCGATGTAGATAGAGATGTTGACAAAGGACCCATTGATCAACTGGCTGTACTAGACAAGGCTTCTCTCCACAGAAGAAAGTCACACAAGCTGGATTTTGAATGATTTCACCAGGTCATCAAGGGGGAAGTAAGGGAAGAGTATACTACAGAGAAGGCACAGAGTAACATAAGCAAAGTCTGAAAAAAGGGACAGGAAATTAAGTTCAGTTCGTTTCAGCTCAAACTACGTGAACTAAGTGCCTACTATTCCACGTCTTTTGTTAAAATACCAGGGCCACATTGAATAGTAGTAGTAATGTTAACACCCACTGTAAGTACTTCATATTTATTAATTCAATTTAACTCTATGAGGTAGATGCTGTTATTATCCCCACATTATGGGAAAGGACACTGAAGCATAGAAAAATGAATAATTTCTTTACCACACAGCTAGAAACTGGTAGAGTCAGGATTTTAAAGTGTCTCAATTATTCACTTGTAAGAGCTATACTGAGGAGAAGGTAGTGGTAAAATCATGTGGAAACTCTTGGGGCAGACATCTACACAGGAGGCTGAGAACCTAAATGGAGGAATGAAATCATACAGCAAAGACTCCCCAGGGAAAAGGTGACTCTGGAGTTAATCTTGAAGAATGAGTGTGTTGTTCCAGATGGAATGAGCAACTGAGAAGCATTTGAGAAGGGATAGAACATAAAATTGGTTTTGAACAAATTGAGTTTAAAGCACATGAAGATATTTGAGAGTAAATGTTATTCAACAATCATAGTTGGATACTTCATTAACCCACTTTAAATAATGGAGAGAACAACGAGGAACAAGGAAAGAGAAGACTTGAGCAACTACAGAACACAAAATCTTCTCAAGTGCACAGGGAATGATAGACAATATCAAAACATTCTAAAGGATTAAAAGTAATACAAAATAGGGCCTCCCCGGTGGCGCAGCGGTTGAGTGCTGGGTTGCGAAGCTGCCCGCAGCCTCTGCGGCGCCGGTTCGATCCCCGGCTGCTCCCCGGCCACCAGAGGAGGGTCCCACATGGCGCGCAGACCTCTCCTGCCGCCCGCTGCTCCCCTCAGCAGTGTACTTCGGTCCTTCTGCCTGCTCTGCTCCCCGCTCTGGCTCTAGTGAATTCTCTCACCCTCCTGTGCTTCTGACTGTACCCAGTGCATGTATAAACGAAACAAACAAACAAATAAATAAATAAAACATGCCTCTATTAAAAAAAAAAAAACAAAAAACAAAACAAAAAAACAAAAAAAAAAAAAAAAAAAGTAATACAAAATATTTTTTGCACCATAGTGGAATTGAAGTAGAAATCAATAACAGAAGGAAATTTGGAAATTCACAAACATGAAAATTCAACAACATATTCTTAATAAACAGTAGGTCAAAAAAATCAAAGGGAAATTAGAAAATATTTTGAAATGGATAGAAATGAAAGCACAGCACTTATGGGATGCAGTGAAAACAGTACTAAATGGGCAATTTATACCTATAAATGCCTAAATTAAAAAAGAGGAAAATTCTTAAGTCAATTACCTATTCTTATATATTGAGAAACTGGAAAAAGAGCAAACCAAACCAAGAGTGAGCAGAAAGGAAAAAATAATAAAAATTTGAGAAGAAATAAAGAATAGAAAAATAATTGAGATAATGAGCAAAACAAAAGTTGATTCTTTGAAAAGATCAGTGACATTGAAAAACTTAGCTAGACTCACCAGTCCCTCCCAAAAAAAAAAAAAAAACCCACAAAAAGTCACAGAGAAGACCCAAATCAAAAGGAATAAACTGCTTAATAATAAATTAATTAAAAGGGTCTCCCTGGTGGCGCAAGGGGTTAAGAAGCAACTTCTGAAGCTGTCCACAGCCTCTGCAGCACAAATTTGGAGTTCGATCCCCAGCCAGCCAGGGAGCTACCCGCATGGCACAGCAGACCTCTTCTGGCTCACCCGCTGCTCCCCTCAGCCGTGTATTTCAGTCGCTCTGTCTCTTCTATTCCCTACTCTGTCTCTGGTGAATCCTCTCACCCCCCACAACTCTGGCCTGTACCCCATTGTTTGTATGTGTAAATAAATCTTTAAAAAATAAATTAAAAAATATAGTTAAATAAAGTTAATTATTAGCAAACATTACAAAACATTGCTGAAATACTTTTAGACAGAACTAAATAAATCTAAATATATTCCATGTTCAAGGGTAAAAAAAAACTAATGCTGTTAACATGGCAATCCTCCCCAAAATGGACTATAGGTTAACAAAAATCCCAATCAAAAGCCTAGCCAGCTTCCTCCCACTTCCATCCAGAAGTTAACAACCATACACTTTTTTTTTTTTTTAAGATTTATTTATACAAGAACGGGGGTATAGGCCAGAATCGCGGGAGGGTGAGAAAATTCACCAGAGACAGAGCGGGGACCAGAACAGGCAGATGGACCAAAAACACTGCTGAGGGGAGCAGCGGGTAAGACAGGAGAGGTCTGCCACGCCATGTGGGCATCTCCCTGGCCAGAAATGGAAATCATATCAGTGCTGCAGAGGGTGCACTGTGGAGAGCCTCACAGCACCACGTTCAACCGACTGCGCCCCCGGGCAGGCTCAACAGGCATATTCTTAAATTCAACTGGAAATGCAGGGACCCAGAATATCTAAGCAACCTTGAATAAGAACAAGTTGTAGTACTTACCCTAACTAATATCAAAACTTACTGCAAAAATACAATACT